GATCTAATGAGATACTTTTGCCAGTTATGCTTAAAGCCAAGGCTTCTCATGATTTCTAGAAAATGTTCAGGGGAGTTCTGAAATAAAGGAAATGAGATTTATATAGCAAAAAGTGTTGGACATAAATAAGCTCAAAAATCCATATGGTAAAAATAATGAGTAATAACACCAACTTAAAGAATTTTATTATTTTCTAAAATGTTTTAATGTATACTATTATATCTATAATAGTTCATCCTGACTGGTACTGCTAAGGGAAACTATTGTGAGAACCTCTGGCTGACTCCAGAAGCAATAGTGGGAAGGAAGGGAGTAGTAGAGATGAAAGTAAGGAACATACCAGATTTGTGGGAAAAAATATGTGTGTCTAGGTAAAAAATAATATAAGGTTAGATTAGTCAGACACAAAGAAAACTTTATAGATTTTAGAAATAATTCAAGCCTTAGTGTGAATGGTAATGGATAATGAAAATTTAATTGGGGGGGTGCCTAGGTGGCTCAGTTGGTTAAGCAACTGACTCTTGATTTCAGCTCAAGTCATGATCTCAGGGTCGTGAGATCAAGCCCCACGTTGGGCTCTGAGCTGGGTGTGGAACGTGCTTGGAATTCTCTCTCTCCCCCTGCCCTTCCCCCTTTTCCCCCCAGCAGGTTTTAAAGAACCTTTCTCATAGACAACCTCTACAAATAGCAGGCATAGATTTGTTAACATCTGAATCAACAGTATAATTTTAATACACCTTTCATATCTTATTATTAAATCAGTTGACAAACATGTCCTTTCTGAGCAAGCCCTAGTATCAAAAGCAATGTAAGGGGAAGTATGGTATAATAAAGAAAATACAAGTCATGACCCTCTAACTTCAAAGTATTTACAGTGTAACCATGGAACAAGTATATTACCCATGAACTGAGAGTGAACAATACAAAAGAGTGCCAAGATGAAGAAATTAATTGTCACAGAAAATCCAAGCACTCTCAGGGTAAAAGCCATGTCTTAATCATGTTACCATCCCTAGCTTGAGGGTGTGTATTTGGGAGTAGATAATAAATAGATAAATAAGGACCCATGAGAGAAGTCTATAGACTTGATGTCATAGAGAATAAGAAGCTATTGAGTGCTTTGACAAGGAAAATGAAGTAATGAAGGTACCGTTTCCAGAAGACTGGTGTGGAATTGCTACGCAGGTCCAGGGGAGAGGTGGGGGCCACCATCAGAAGCATCTGAAGGCCTGGGCAAGGATGTGTGTATAACCATAAAGAAAAATGTAGGCACCACACCCATTGCAGAGAAACTGCTTTGGAAAATAGTGACTTGCATAATGGGCTATGGATAAAATAGAGGATCCAAGAAAATGCATTCTAAGCCTGGAGGCATGGTTGCTACTTGTAAAGAGAGGCTTGATGGAAAAGGAAACCAGTTGGGGAACAAAGTGATGATGGGTTCAGTCTGGGAGAATTCACTTCTAAGATGACAAGGAGACACAGTAGAACAAATGACTGGCTAGCACTTCAAGATATAGGATAAGATAATGAAGAGAAAGTATACAAGTATAGATCTGTGTATTACAAACTTGCAAGTAAAAATAAAAACCATTAACTGTTCCATTTGTACATTAATTTAACACACATTTACTGAGTTCTTACCATGTTCTAGCAAGTGTTATAATCATGGGAATGGAGTTACGAATATAGGAGACAGTACCCCTGCTCTCACAGAACATTCTAACAAAAAAACAAATAAAAAGAAATTGTATAGTATGCCACATGGTGGTAAATTCCACGGGGAAAGTTCAATTAGGATAAGAGAAAAGGAGTGTGAATGGCAGTAGTGTGTTTTCTTATTTGTTTATTTGTTTTTAGGGAGATTAGGAAAGACCTATCTTAAAAGGTGTTATTTGAACAGAGGTTCAAAACAAATGAATGAATGAGCCTTACAATTTTCTGGGCACAAAATGAATCATTTTGACATAGGAAAGAGCAGGTATAATGGCCCTGTGAGAGAAGTAAGGAGGTCAGCTTGGCTGGAGCAGAATGAGCCAGGAGAAGAAGGGAAAAGGTGAGGCCAGAGAGATAGCTGATACCAGTAGGATCTGGTAAGATGAACCCTGCATGTTTGTCAGCCTTTACCCTGGGAGATCCTGGAGGCCAGAGAAGAATTTGAATCAAGGAGTGACATGACCTAGCTTACATTTTAACAAGGTCACTCTGGCCCTTGTTTTGAAAATAAAAAGTAGAAAGCGAGGGTGAAAGCAGCACATCAGTTGAAGGCTATTGCAGTAAATCAGGTGAGAGATGAGATAGCATAAAGGTAGTGAGAAGAGAACTGATTCTGGTGTATTCTGAAGATGGAGCAAACAGCTTAACAGATGCTTAAGTTTATGTTATGAGAAAAGATGACCTTAAGAGTTTTGACTGAAGAACCTGGAAGAATGGAGTTAGCATCTAGTGAAATGGAGAAGGTTGAAAGAAGCAAGTTTGGGAGAAAATCAGAATGAGCTTGGGATATGTTAAGTTTGAGATGTATGTTAGACATGTAAGTGAATACACCACAACATACAGTACTGGAGCTTAGAGCAGTGGGCCACGCTGGAGAAGTGGTTAGTGTAACATAATACCTAAAACCAGGGCACTGAACAGTACACTGTAGGGAATAAATATAAAGAGAAAGAAGAAAAGTTAGGTTGAGCTACAAGATGAAGATGAACCAGCAAAGGTAATGGAAAATGGGCGGCTATTTAATTCATTGGAGATCCATAAGAAAGTGGTTTACTCATGGCAGTCATATGAGGAAAGTGTTTCAAAGAGGGTTATCAGTTGGGTTAAATTACGAGGTCTAATGAGAAAACAGACTTTACCAATAGATTTAGCAATATAGAAGCAATTAATGACCTTGATAGGAGATTAGTGGTTGAGATAAAAGTCTAAATGGAGTTGGTTCAAGAGATAAAGGAGGGGAGAAACCAACCACAATAAAAGTAGATAATCCTGATAAGGAATTTTTAGTCTAAAACAAAGAAAGTAATGGAACAATGGCCAGAATGGAGATGGGGGATCTAGAACATGCAAAATGAATGAAAATAAAAGAACTGAACTAGAAAAATAAATATTTTTGGTGTTGAGGATGAGAAAGCCCAAAGATAATGGGGGAATTCTTTATCTCAGGAAACAAACTGAGGGTTGCTGGAGTGGTGGGGGGTGGGAGGGATGGGGTGGCTGGGTGATAGACATTGGGGAGGGTATGTGCTATGGTGAGCACTGTGAATTGTGTAAGACTGTTGAATCACAGACCTGTACCTCTGAAACAAATAATACATTATATGTTAAAAAAAAAGAAGATAGTAGGAAGGGAAAACTGAAGGGGGGGGGAAATCGGAGAGGAAGAAGAACCATGAGAGACTATGGACTCTGTGAAACATACTTAGATTCTAGAGGGGAGGGGGGTGGGGGGATGGGTTAGCTTGGTGATGGGTATTAAAGAGGGCACGTACTGCATGGAGCACTGGGGGTTATACGCAAACAATGAATCATGGAACATCAAAAGCTAATGATGTAATGTGTGGTGATTAACATAACAATAAAATAAAATTTTAAAAAAAGATAATGGGGATGGAATAGCAGGGAAAAGATAGGAATAAAGTCATCTAGGTGCTGTATCCTATAAGCCAATGGAACTGGAAGCATGTTGGTCAATGTGAAATCCAACAGGAAGGATAAGCATGGAGAAAAGGGGTATTATGTTTATCAAAAAGGAGTCATTAATAGAAAGAAGTGTCAGAACATATCAGGAAATTTGGGCTTATATGTTTTTTGTATTTGTGGCTTTTTTTAAAAGATTTTATTTTTTTATTTGAAGAGAGAGAGCACGAGAAAGCACAGCAGGGGGAGTGCAGCAGGGAGAGAGGGAGAAGCAGACTCTCCCCTGAGCAGGGAGCCCAATGCAGGGCTCAATCCCAGGGTCCTGGGATCATGACCTGAACCGTACATAGGCAGCTGCTTAACCGACTGAGCCACCCAGGGGCCCCAAGGGCTTATATGTTTTTAAGATATTTCTAATACTTCATTCATGTTATTTACAATGTTTCAGACACTTTTCTAGTCATTAGGATACAACAACAAACAAAATGGAAACAAAAAATCCCGGCTTTAGTGGGCTTAGAATTTACTGGTAGGGGATTAATTTTTTTCTTTTTCTTTTTCTTTTTCTTTCTTTTTTTTTTTTTTAAGATTTATTCATTTATTTGAGAGAGAGATCATGAGCAGGAGGGCAGAGGGAGAAGGAGAGAGAAACTCAAGCAGACTCCATACTGAATATAGAGCCCAACACAGGGCTTGATCCCATGACCCTGAGATCATGATCTGAGCTGAAACCAAGAGTTGGATGCTCAACCGACTGAGCCACACAGGCACCCTGTGATTAATTTTTTTCTTAAAAAATATTGTCAAAATTTTCAGTAGGCCCCAAATAATCTCTGCTTCTTGTTATTCACAGCCTTGTGTAATCCCTTCTCCTTGAGTATGGACTGGACTTAGTGACTTGATTCTGATCATGAGAATGTGGAAAAGTTGACGGGATATCACTACCATGATTAGTTTATAAAGGATTTGCCTTCTGTCTTGCTAGCAGAATCCTTTGCCTTCTCAGTTTCACTGCTTTGAAGAAGCAAGCTGCCTTTTTGGTGAAACCTACGTGGCAGGAAACTGAGAGCAGCCTCTGGATCACATTCCTGGAGGAACTGAACCCTGCCAACAACCATGTGCATGAACAGGAAAGCAGATCCTTCCCCAGTCAAACCTTCAGATGTGAGCCCAATTCTGGCTTAAAGTTTGATTGAAATCTTCTGAGAGACTCTGAACTAGAGGACTCTGCTAAGCCATGCCTGGATTCCTGACCCACACAAACATAAGATAACAATGTGTGCTGTTTTAAGTTGTTGAGTTTTGGGTTAATTTATTCTGTAGCAGTAGATAAATAATACAATATTGTAGGGAAATCAGCTTACCAATTGTTCCAATGGAGGAATGACATCTTTCAAGACATGCTGTGAATGATTCCTTCTGTGTCGGGATATCTGAAAAAATATTGGCATTAGATATTATTATATTATTTTTCTCCAAAAAAAAGCTATAAATGATTTAAAAGAGCATATTTTAGTAAAGTACACAGGTAAATAACCATATTCAGATTCATTCAAGAAGTCAAACAGAGTAGATATAAAATGGAAAGTAAATGTTTTAGACATTGACTAATTTGAATAAAATGTGTACTCAAAGATTGCTGGCTGCAACAATATCTCCTATTCAAAGTACACTTCTTACCATGTCACCCTGACACTCCTCCTATCAAGTGGGGGGGTCTATATTCTTTCATTTTGAACCTGGGCAGAGCTTTATGCCTGTTTCATTCAAAAAGCACGGCAGAAGTGACTCTACATGACTTAAAATGGTAGAGCATAAAAATGTCATGTACTTCCTCCTTGTTCTCTTAGAACCCTCACATTTGGAAAATATTCACCATGTTGGGATGAAGCCCAAATCGTCTCACACAGAGAGATCACAGGGAGAGACCTCATAGGTTTTCTGGCTAAGAGACTAACTGAGGTTCTAGCAGACAGCTTGTATCAACTGCCAGTCATATGAGTATAGATATTTTCTGATGGTTCTCTCTGCTGGCCATTGAGTCATCCCCATGTTTCAAGTCCTAGTAGAAGCCTCAAACACTGTGTAGTAGACAGCAGCTGTTCCTGCTATGTCTTATCTGAATTTTTGACCAGACTCCGTAAGCATAAAAAAAAAAAATCACTGTTTTATATCTTTATATTTCAGGTGACTTGCAAGGAAACAAAATATTTAATGTTGAAACACCTTGTTTATGATATGATATGAGCTCAGCTTTTTCAGAGTCAAAGTGCTATTAATTTTCAGGCCTTCTTCTATGAATGTATTTAAAGACACAATAATCAATGGATTAGTGGTTTGGGAACAAAATTTTTAAAATGCCTATGGTGGTTTCTGCCAAAGAAGCACCATAGACTGATTCTATAATAAAACAAAAAGAGAAGAAGAAGGAATTTATGATGAAATATTGTACTGTTTGATAGTTTAAATAGGAGCTCTAATTAATAATCCTATTTTACTAGGCAGGAATTCTCCAGTATTTTACATGAAGGTGGCAGGGTATAAGGCCGAAGAGACAGGGAAGTAGGAAAAGAAAGAATGAGAGAGAGAGAAAGAGAGACTGCAGGATGAGTGTGAGGTATTAAAGAAGAAAGCAGGTCTGAGAACTGTCTAGAAACGAACTTTGGATGGCTTTGTGGTTACTGGCACATTAACTGACTGAAGGGGTTAAATCAAAGCCTTTTAAGATTTTGAGAGACTTGTATTAGCAGAGAAACCAAAAGCCTGGCCTCAAAACCTATGACTCTATACAACCCTTGAACCCCATATTTTCTCCATAAAACTGCATTGTGAAAGCAGTACAACCTCCAAGGGAGCCATTCTCTTCCAAGCTCACTTTCAATGCGGCCAGTGGGGGATGATGGGGGAGGAGGAGCCTCCAGAAAGCAGAGCCAGAAACCTTGGAGAACAATGGGCATGGGGAATTATCCCAAAAGGGAGAACCAGGAGAGCCAGGAACGGACTCTGCGGGGAGGGCAGGGGTCTCACAGGGCCTGCCCAGCAGGCTTTAATAATCATTTGGGTCAAGTGACTGTTGGCTGGTTACCATTTATTTCCTTTACACATGAGAGGGTGTTTCCAGTTATCAAGTTCTCGTTCCACCACTGTCTATTGGATGTGATGTGAAAAACAGAACAGAGAACTCATTTTTTTCAAGTTCTAAACCTCTAACGCCCTGGAGAGAAATTGGCATGATGGAGAAAGTTATTTATCACTGCTATTCTTCTATTGGAGTTTGATGTAGTAATTGCATGGGACTTTTGGTCATCTTCTTTGGGGAGGTGGATAGATGTATTTCTAAGTGTTGAAGACAGGTGCAAATTGACATACAGTGAAGGGGTGGGGGGACTGTGGCAGCCCCTGATGCCTGCTCACCAAAATTCTGTCCTTTCTCCAGGGCATATATCTAGACTGCATTTTTCAGCCTGCCTTGCAGTTGGGAGTGGCCACATGACGGTTCAGACCAACGGGATGAGAAGCCTTCCCCACTCAAAGCTTTAACCAGTGAGTGTTTCCCCTCCGTGTTCCCTGCCATGCTGGCTGGGAGTGCACACTGAATGAGGCCATGCAGGAGACTGAAGAGGCAAGATGGAAGAAGACTCTGAATCGCCATGTGGAGAAAAGCCAAACATAGACCAGGAAAATGCATTTTGTTTTATTTAGTAAACTTTTTATTTTGGAATAATTTTATACTTAGAGAAAAGTTGTAGCAAGGACAGAGCATTCCTATAGAAAATTACCTTCTAACTGTTTTAGTGAGAAATAAACTTCTATTTCTTGGAGCCATTGTGTATTTTAGAGAATTTTATAGCTGCTAGCATTACCTTAAATAAAACAACCATAGTTGATCTTAATTCATGTTGAAATGAATATATATATTCATATATATATATTCACATATATACTGGGTATTTAAACCTTTTAAGGAACCAGGCATTTATTTTGTACTGCTCTGCATTTGGAACTTACTTCTCTTAACTATTAGTCATTAAACTAGGATTTATTATCTTCACTGAAAATTTAATATATATGCCTTACATTCAATTTACAAGGGTGGAAAAATTCTGGGATTCTTTTTTTCTTGTTCTATTTCCTTGAAACTTGTTGGATTTCCAGTCTTGGGTTAAAAATCACTCTCCTAGCCTATAAAATACCTCAAGCTGTAAATATTAGAGAAAGTAGTATCAAGTAATGTCTCCACAACATTGATGAATAAGCACCTGGGCATTCACTTGTGTCAGTCTTACCATTCCTTCTATGGCCAAACCATGCCTACCTTTGTCCTACCACTACTAGATTTTGATGGGTATATTGGCCCACCAGCCTTTAAATAGTCTCTTCTAGTCACTATAGAAAGTTTTCTTATGAGGCAATGTTTTAAAATGCATTGTGTATATATTACCAGAGGCACAAGAGATGATTTTAGCTGATGAATGTTTTAATTATCATTTACACAAACTTAAGTTTTAGCAGGAAAACTTACCACACAAAGACATTTGTTAGTGGTATGAATACATTTTCCATTAAAATAGAATATAAATAATATAATTAAATAAGTACTATGTAGTGTGCAATATGGGGGGAAAAACCCACAAACATAGTAAGTGAATGACTGAAATTTGGGAAACAAATTTTTTTAAAGATTTATTTATTTATTATTTATTTTAGAGAGAGAGAAGGAGCGCACACTCGCCAGGGCAGGGTGGTGGGAGGAGGGGAGGAAGGGCCGTGGGAGAGGGAGAAAACGTCTCAAGTAGACTCCACACTGAGCGCGGAGCCTGGCGGTGGGGGGGCTCCATCTCACTACTCTGAGATCACTATCCAAGCGATAATCAAGAGTTGGACACCTAACCGATTGCGCAACCCAGGCCCCTCTGGGAAACAAATTTTAATGAGAAGAAATCAGAACAGAAATGACCAGTTACTGAGCACATATTTATTTCATCCTTAAAGGGAACTATTGGGTCCATGGTATAAATAAGAATTCAGATTGGGAAATGACACAGTGTTACTGTTTGTTAACATGTTTTCAGTGCTTATTATTTGCCAGGCACTGTTCTAAGTATTTTGCACATATTAACATACTTAATTCTCACTCTTTTTTCATAAATGTAGAAACACAGATACAGACAGTTTAAGTAACTGTAAAGATCCAGAGCTAGTAAAAGCCATGGGTGATATTTAACCAGGATCTAAGCCTTCAACTATTACACTTTATTGCTTCACCAGCAATATAATGTATATGCATAAAGGCAATCATTACATTCTTGGGGAACTCCAAAGTTGAGATTATCCGCATGCATAAGGGGATATTTCTAAGGAAGAAATTTGAGTCAAACTTATAAATTTGTACACGTTTACACAGGGAGCTAGAAATCAGGTTTCAAATCTGTTATGAATTATCTTTATTTTCCTTTAGGGAAAGTAATATTGCTGATCATTCCTGAATCAATAAGCTAGCCAATCTATCATGTTCAACCAAGTTACGGAGATGCAGGAAAAAAGAGAACTTTCATCACCTGTCTTTGCTTTAATGCTCTTCTCAATTAAGCATTAGGCACAGAAATGTGTTATCATCCCAAATCAGATTACCCTGACTGAAATTTATGATTTAGGAAATTCTGAATCCAAATTTGCTTAGCTGTGTTACATGGATATCAAGAAAAGTTATTTCAAGAAAGCTGTTTTTATGTGATTTATTTAATTGAAATGATAATTATAAAGAACACTTGAGGTCAATCAAAACTTCCTGAGGTAAGTTTGAAGGGAACAGAGGCTCTCCTAAACCATACATAGTATAAAATAACAGAAAATCTTATAGTATTTGTACATGTTTCTCTATCAACAGTATCTATCAATAGTATTATTAGTAGTATCTGAAAATTTTGCAAATTATTACAGGACACTTCCTTGAGAAACGTTTCTGCTTAAGACATCAGATGTCCTTATAAACCATTCATTTAGCCAGTAAACACTGCAAGCTTAGTACAGTTACATGCTAGTAGTTTCTAATAGTAGATGTTCAAAATATACATGTTTGTTGTGTTTGTTGATGTTATCAAATATCTCTAGTACTAGTATTGCAAGAAGAGTACTTCATTTTTGGACAGTCCTAATTTTTTCTCAATGTATCTGATATTAAAAACCTATGTTTTGCTCTGCAAATTGCTTCTGGGTGAGTTTCAGAATGCTAGCAATGGTGGGCTCCATTGTTCAATCTCAGGTCCTTTTCACTTTTGCAGCAATTCTTAATTAATCTGAATTTGGAAAACTTGAATAGCAATAATAATATTAGCAGTAGCTTGATACAACATTATTTTAATACATTATTTTCTCTGTGAGTTACAGAAGCATTTCTTCTGAGGAAGGCTTAAAATACAGTTTTTATGACTTA